CAGTACCCCCAGGCTCAGCACCCTCACGCACAGTACCCCCAGGCTCAGCACCTCTAGGTACAGCACCCCAAGGCTCAGCACCCCCAGGCTCAGCACCCCCAGGCTCAGCACCCCCAGGCACAGCACCCCCAAGCTCAGCACCTCCAGACTCCGCACCCCCAGGCTCAGCACCCACAAGCATAGCACCTCCAGTCTCAGCACCCCCAGGCTCAGCTCCCGCAGCCGCACCAGAGTCACCAGTGACCTCAACAGGCTCGACCGCGTCTACCTGGGACACACCTGAAGGGGCAGGACCCTGAGGGGGAAGGGGGTCTACCGGGGGGGGACCTGGTACCAAGAAGAGCGGGGGCCGGGGGAGGGAAGGAGTGCGGTAGGGGAAGAGGCGGTAGTAGGGTAGCGACTCGTCGAACGTGACGTCCTGGGAGGACAAAACACGTCGAGAGGTGGGGTGGTAGAACTGCCACCCGGGGGCGTCGGGGGGGAACCCCAGGAAGACGCAGGGAGCAGCGCGAGGGGACAGCTTGTCCGCAGACAAGTCGCGGACAAACGCCCGAGATCCCCAGACCCGGAACGCCGACGCATCGCCAACCTTCCCCGTCCACAGCAGCGCTGGGGAGGTCTCCGGCTTGGAGACCCTGGGGTGGAGGTTGATCTGATGCGCGGCGTACCTGACCGCAAACGGCCACAGAAAATGGGGGGCAGCCGCATGCATCATGGACGTACGAGCGACGTCCATGACCATGCCAATGCGGCGCTTTGCAATCCCATTCTGCTGCGGGGAGTCCGGAAGCGTGAAGGTCTGGCGGATGCCTCGCGCACGACAGTAGGCACGCAGAAGGCCAGAGGAGAACTCTCCGCCTCTGTCCGAGTGCAGACGCAACACAGGAAAGTCCGAGCCAAAGCTCTGCCTGAGCTGGAGACGAGCTGCGCGGATCCAGTCGATCAGCACCTCAGTGACATCACCCTTGCTGCGCAAGGGAAAGACTGTGGTGTAACGCGAGTAGTCGTCAACCACCAGCAGGAAGTAGCGCTCGTGACCGAGTCCACGGACGCGGGCAGGGCCCCACACGTCCATGTGAAGCGTCTGCAACGGAGCCTCTGTCGGAGGAAACTGGGAGGAGTGAGGGGCAGCACGCTGGCGCCCCTCAACACAGGGGACACAGGCAGGGCCAGGGCCCCGAGGAAGGGGAGGTAGAGACCTGAGGAGACCAGACACAAGAAGACGGGAGGCCATGCCTCTGAGCCAAAGCAGAGAGGGGTGGCCAAGACGTTGGTGCCAGAGGAGGGTCTCGTGAGACAGACGGCGACACGAACAGGGGGCAGACTCAGGACCAGACCTGGACGCTGCAGCAAATACCTGACCAGACGAAGGCACGCTACCAGACTCAGCACCTGGAGGAGAAGCAGTGGTCAGTGTGTAAAGGCTCGACCCTGGCTGACGTGTAAACGTAGCCAGGTGACGACCCGTGCTAGCCTCCGTGTAGTGCATCACTCGCTGACTAGCAGGGGTGAACTGGTGAACTCCCCCATCCTGTAGGTCAGCACCACTCACCAAGTTCGTAGAGAACGAGGGGAGGTAGAGACCAGACAGGGTGCCAGAGGGAGCCGCCGGACACGGGAGGACCGTGGAGAAGCGAGCCAGGACAGGACCCCCAGAGGGGTCAACCAGGGAAACCGCAACCGGCCGACTAAGCGGCGTAAGTGTGGTGTGGTCCCGAAAGAAAGAGCGAGACGCTCCGGAGTCTAGAGTGAAGGTGTGGGAGGCCGAAGCCGACGCAGTACCCGAGAGCGCAGACGCACTAGTACCTGAGAGAGCAGTCTCACGAGTACCTGAGAGTACAGACGCACTGGCACCTAGAGCAGAAGCCTCACCGGCACCTGGAGCAGCAGTACCAATGCCCGGGTCGGGCGGGAAACACCGGTAACAGTCACCCTCCTCACTAATGGTCACAGCATACATGGCAGCAAGGATAGCATCAAAATCAAGATCAAAGATAGCTACACCAGCCCTAGACAGCTCTCCCCAGCGGGGGATCTCCGCGGCCTCCGGGAACCGCTGACGCCAAGCGTCTGTCAGGCGGCCAAAGCAGCGCTGGGCGGGGTGGGCACCCCCACACTGCTCTCCAGTGCGGTTGCCAGTGCGGAGAACGTAGGTGCAGGGACCAAAACCCCCACCGCGCTGACGCTGCATGTACCACTCACGGAGCTGCTGAGGGGTGGGAACGTTACGAGAACGTTGCTGCTGCTGCTGCTGCTGCTGTTGGCGCTGACCGCCACCAGTGCCGCTCCGCTGCGAAGCCCCACTCCGACCACCTCCACCTCCGCCACCCCCGCCCCCGCCTCCACCTCCACCGCCGCCACCTCCGCCACCTCCGCTACCACCGCCACCGCCGCCGCCACTCCCGCCGCCACCGCTGCCACTAGCACCCCCACCCCCACTACCACCTCCATCGCCACCCCCACTCCCTCCGCCGCCTCCACCTCCACCGCTACCACCCCCACTGGCCCCACCCGCTCCCTTGCCCCCCTTGCTCTTGCCAGAGCGGCGTCTCTTGCTAGGGGCAGACGCCGCACCGACCGACTCAAGACCAACGAGGTCGGCCGCAGCGGCAGAGGCGACAGAGGGCAGGAGAGGGGAAGGAGAACACCCCTCAAAGATAGGGGCGCGGGGGTCGCCTCGAGAGGCTCCTACAGCAACTATGCTCTTCTCTGCTGCAAGAAGGGCCTTCTCGAGGCTGTCGACTGTGAGGGTGGTGGGACAGACCGCAAGGAAGTGGTCCCGGACTACACGAAGGGAGTCAGGGAGGCGAGTGACTAGGAAGTAGAGAGTGATGTACATGGGGGGGGGGGGTTCTTGGCGCAGAAGTCAGCAGGAAGCGCAGCGCGGTAGCGAGTGTCACTAGTGCGGAGGTGCGTGATGAGATCAGTGACAGTGGGAAAGGCGGCAAGGTCAGGGAAGAGGAAGGGGAGCATGAGGCGGCTCAGTGCAGCAGTGGCAGGGGAGGAGTAGCGCGCAACTACAGCGTCGTACAAGGTCTGAGCACTCTTGTACTGGCTAAAGTGCGCGCGCTCAGCGGTAGGCAGGTGGCGACGCACAGCAAGACGTGCAGCAGCATCGCGCGTGGCCCACTGAGAGCGAACAGTGGCGTCAGCATCAGCAGCAGGGGCAGGGACAGCGCCAGGGGTGAGGTCAAAGAGAGACAGACTGTCGGCCCTGTCGCACTGTAAAAACAGCTGCAGGTCGTCGAGCCAGACCTCAAAGTCAATGGCTCGACCCTCAGCGTCAAAAGCGAGGACACTGGGTGTAGCCATGACGACGACAGTGGAGCAGTGCAAGCAGTTGGGGAAGGGTACGCAGTGACAGCGGTGCGGTGCTCACCGGGCAAGGCAGGTCGGGTAGCTCGGGAGGAAGGTCGCCTGGCGACTCGGCGGCTAGGCTGCTGGGCGGCTCGGCTCCCGAGCGGCTCGGCTGCTGCTGGGCGGCTCGGCTGCTGCTGGGCGGCTCGGCTGCTCCTGGGTGGCTCGGCTGCTGCTGGGCGGCTCGGCTGCTGCTGAGCGGCTCGGCTGCTCTTGGGCGGCTCGGCTGCTCCTGGGCGGCTCGGCTGCTGCTGGGCGGCTCGGCCGCCGCTGGGCGGCTTGGCTGCTGCTGGGCGGCTCGGCTGCTGCTGGGCGGCTCGGCTGCCGCTGGGCCGCGTAGGTAGGGCGGCCGGGCCGCGAAGGTTGGGCGGCGGGTGGGCCGCAGGTAGGGCGGCGGGTGGGCCACAGGTAAGGCGGCGGGTGGGCCGCAGGTAGGGCGGCGGGTAGGCCGCAGGTAGGGCGGCGGGACGGCCGCAGGTAGGGCGGCGGGACGGCCGCAGGTAGGGCGGCGGGTAGGTCGCAGGTAGGGCGACGGGACGGCCGCAGGTAGGGCGGCGGACGGCCGCAGGTAGGGCGGCGGGTAGGTCGCAGGTAGGGCAACGGGACGGCCGCAGGTAGGGCGGCGGACGGCCGCAGGTAGGGCGGCGGGTAGGCCGCAGGTAGGGCGGCGAGTGGGCCGCAGGTAGGGCGGCGGGACGGCCGCAGGCAGGGCGGCGGACGGCCGCAGGCAGGGCGGCGGGACGGCCGCAGGTAGGGAAGCGGCGGGGCCGTGTCGAGGAGGCGGCGGGGCCGCGTCGAGGAGGCGGCGGGGCCGCGTCGAGAAGGCGGCGGGGCCGCGTCGAGGAGGCGGCGGGGCCGCGTCGAGGAGGCGGCGGGGCCGCGTCGAGAAGGCGGCGGGGCCGCGTCGAGAAGGCGGCGGGGCCGCGTCGAGGAGGCGGCGGGGCCGCGTCGAGGAGGCGGCGGGGCCGCGTCGAGGAGGCGGCGGGGCCGCGAGGGGAAGGGCGACACGGAGGGTCGCGAGAAAAAAAAGAACGCGCGCCTCGGGGCGCGCTTCGGTGGGCCCTAGAGAACAGTCCCTAGGATGGGACCTGCTCTGATTCCATGTGAAAATAGAAACGTGAATGAATTGACTACGAACGAGGTGAGTACAAATAGGAAACCCTAATTGGGTTGTACCCCCTATGGGATACCCCACTATAGCCTACACAAACAAGTAAGCTATAATGTTCTGACATTGTTCTCTCTCGCAACTTATCGCGAACAAAATTCGCACAAGCATAGGTTCGTTAAGCGCACAGCGAGATCCGGTTCGGTTACAGCTGGCGCGATCTGGTAGGCTCCATGCCGGCTGACACGTGCCGCAATTTGAACGAGCCACACAGCGGTGTGTTCGTTTGGCCGATGTGCGATCGCGGTAACGTGTCAAGCACGTCCACGCAGTGTCCGGTCATTACGCCGAGGACGCCCACAGTTTCCACTTTCCGATCGCCAGTTGCACACCAAGCTCTACCCCCTCACGACCCACTGGGATACACCAGACACCAGTATCGCGGTTACGTTGTGTGCCGCGCTCGAATGTCCGCGAGCACATCGGTCGCGAGCGTCTAACTCACACCCGGGTGGACAACTAGTGACCGCGCATCATGTTGACGCACGCGGTGAATACGAGTAGGTGCAATCTCACACGCCGCATGCATACCATGAATCGCGTCGCGGCGCCAATACTTCACGACTCCATCAATGCTTCGGGCAACACAACCGCGCATCAAATACATAATGCCGAACCACCTACCGCTCCCGTGCACGGGGTGAACGCGCTCAACCCCACATGGAGCACCCCATACGGGCAGCCAGTGGTGTTTGGGTCCCGGACGCCCACGTTTCACCCACAGCAACTGGTCAACGGGCTCCACCTAGCACCGCGGCCACAAATACCGTTTGCGGCAGTGGCGGTCGCGTTACAAAATCAACCGGGTAATGCGGTCGCGTCCCCGTCCGTGCCCAGTAGCCAGCTCTTTGGGATGCCCGTGCGTGGCTTCGTAGGGCCGCAGTTCTCGAACGTGGGATTCAGGTACGGGTACATCGGCGTTCAACCAGACCCCATGGTGCACGCACACGCATATGTTGCGACGCCTCCTGTCGCGCCGTCAACACCATTCTCCAGCGCGATTCATCCGGAAAGCCAGCCAGCGGTGCAAGACCCGCCAGACCCTAGTGAAGCATTAGTTGTCGGTTTGGACACACGGGCGCGAACAGAGGGCACATCATCGAACGCGGTTGCCGGTGGTTTAGGGCGTGCGGTGAATGGTGGAGCGGGGGTGAATGCAAGCGCGCGTGCACATTCGCCGCCAATATGGAACGTGAACTCACTGTTGCCCGGAAACCCCGACGTCCACATCCGCACCCCCGCGCATCCGACTGTAGCGTACGCGACTGGTGTAGGTGGGCAACCACAGGCGAACGCGGGGAACGCGAGGCGTGGAGCGGGTGCAAGCGGAAACGCGGTAAGGGGAAGAGGGACGGGTGTGATAGGGAACGCGGGAGGAGGGACAGGGGAGAGAGGGAACGCGGCTAGAGGGAGAGGTGCGAGACGAAGGGGTAGGAGAGCGATCGCGGGACGTGGGACAGGTGTGGGATCGAACGAGTACAGTGCGAACGGGCAGGGAGCGCATGGGGTGACATATAACGGCGGCAGGGGTAGCGATGTTAACGCGAACGACGGGTCAGGTAACGGGCCAGTTAATAGACCGCGTATAAGGAGGCGGAGAGTCGATGTAGTGCCGCACACGGCACACAACGGATCCCGGGAGGGGAGCGAGGGGACAAGCGATGAGGATGACGAGGACGATGCTGACGATGCGGACGATAGTTGGAATGACGATGACGAAAACTACCTATCGAACTCGTTGTCCGCGCTCAACGAGGAGGAGGCGGAAGATAACGAACGGGTGCGGGGTACGCGGAGGGACATTGAGGTCCCTATCGCGGATTGGAACAGGCTAGGTGTGGACGACACGCCGGCCGCGAAACGAGAGATGTGCTACGGAATCCTCTACGGTGTCTCTGAGGCCACGCTAAAGAAGTATCGCGGTTGGGCCAACGAGTACAAGCGGTTCATGGCTCACGAGCTGCCTAAACTGGACGCGGGTAGGTTTGGTGATGAGGCCGCGCTGAGAAACGCGAACCCCGACGAGATTGGGGCCACGCTCGAACAGAACATGGGTGGTGACTGGAAGATGGCGGAGGGCGGCGAGCAGTGGTTCCACAGCCCTGAGACGAATCCATGGCGCTTACGCAAATACGTGACCTTCCTCGCGAACGAGACAGTTGCGCAGGCGGACAGGATGGCCACACTCAAGCGGCCGCAGAAGACCTTGAAGAAGAGACGCCAGTGCACCCCGGCAATGCTGATGGGGCGTCTCAAGGCTTTGAACCTGCTCATCAAGCTGGACGGGGCCATCTTCAGGAAGCCCGTTCTGAACCTGCTGCGCGACTTTGCGGAGTGTCGCATCTGAAGTACGCGACCAATACAAGCGGTTTATCGCGTAAGTATACGTTCTCTGTGAACGCGTTTAATGCCTGACAATCCCGCGTCCACTAACACCCGCACTATCGTCCCAATCGATGCGCAGGGAACACATGGATTGCCATCGGGGCACGGCCGCGGACACGTACACCCCGGACGAGTTCAAGCATATGATGCGGAAGACCAGCATGGACGCGATCTTGACCAGCTTCACACTAGCCAATAAAGCATACACGCAGGCAATGCATCGCGACCTCTGCATCCGGACGATGACCGTGCTCGGTCATCACACTCTGGCCCGCGGATGCACGATCAGAAACCTGCAGCTGCCAGACATGATGATGTGGAAGCTAGGCGCAAAATCGGAGACCGATCCAGTGAGAAACGCGTTCATGTTTGTTTGCGCGTGCAGGACGGGCAAGACAAACAAGGACTTCTCGCTCAACTACATATCTGCTGTGAGGTACATAGATTGGACGCTGTGCGCGGTCGGAGCCACGCTGCTGTGGCTAGACTGGGTGTACGACTTGGTTCCCATCCTCTATGAGAACATAGCCCCCCCTCTCGACTTCACGGAACCCTCCACGTGGTACGATCAATACCTGTTCTTCCCCCTTCGCGCGGGCAACGAGAAGCAAATAACGCCCACGACTCATCACGACTGGGCGGCGAAAATTCTCCAGGACGCGGGAATCACATGCTCGCGTGCGGTACACGCGACCAGGGCTGGGGGGGCGCAGCACGCGTCCGCGGACGGAATGCCTTCGGATCAGCTAGCGAGGCTGGGGGGTTGGCGCTTCATCGACGTGATGACTAAGCACTACCTCACAACCATTCCAAGGGAGGCCGTGCTGCTGAAGGCGGGCTTCACCGGGGTTGACGGTGACTACTTCGTCGCGCAACTGTTCCGGTCAGCGATAAGCTGGATGAGCTACTGAGGAAGCACATTTTCCCATGGGCCGCCACGGACAAAGGACAGCAACAGGTATGTGTGGTCCGCGCATACGCGACCGCGAGCATCTCACATACCACTCTAGCACCGCGTTCACTGCCTTGTTGTTTTATTGTCACAGTGCAAGGATTACAACCGCAGGATGGTGAAAACGCAGAAGCCGGAGAAGCAGGACACCGCGGGGCTAAACATACTGAAGGAGCTGGATGGGGACGCTAGGATGGCGGTCGCGCAAGACCTGGCGATGTATTACATCCACCACCCGCGACACCCGTACGTGGTCAACAACCCGCTCTGCCAGACGGAGGAATTTGCGTCGTGGGCTGCAGATGTCTCATTGGCAAATCAACTCGCCATAGTACAGCGCAACACACCTACACTGACCCAGCCCGCATGGTCGCGTTATGTTTCTTCCGTGATGTCAGTGCCAAACCATAACAAGTTCGCGGTCGCTTTCTGCCCATGCAGGAGGTGAGTACCAGAATGGACGCGCAGAACCAAGTGACCGTCCTCACTGAGTACTTGAATCGTTCACAAGCGGACAACACCAGACTGGGCCTAGAGTTGGTCGAGACTCATAAACGGGTGAAAGAGCTAGAGGGGCTGCTGGAGGATCGCGATCGGAAACGGGCCGAGAAGGACGAGCGCGTGAATGATTTGGAGGCCCAGCTGTCGCGGCTCACCGTGAGCAGCTCAGGGCCGACCGCGGTTCCGAACCAGGCAACCACTCCTGGAGCCGCGGCCGCGTCGACCAATGCCACAGCTCCCACCGAGCAGGGGACGCGGAAGAAACCCGCAGCGCCAACCAGGGAACAGACGATTCGGGACGCGATCGTCCTTCCATGGGTCAACGCCACCAAACCGTCAGACGGATGGAAGCTGTACAAGACAACGCACCCGCTGATCCTCGAGAGTCCAGAGTCCCTTCTGGCCCAGCCCCGCGGCGCAGTTACGCGAATGGCCGCGCTCATTGGGGAGGAGGGAGGCGGCCAGAACGCGATAAACCGTGTTAAGCGAATCATGAACTTCATCGCCCACAGGGTGGAGCAAGGAGACGACGTCGCGGTAGTGCTCGACAAGCTCGACCTCATGTCAGGTGCTGTGGGCATGTCGGGTGTATCGGAAGGGATCGCGGTAAAGAAGAAGAGTGTTGACCTAGAACTGAGCCAGCTCAAGAAGGGTTCTCCGGTGGAGGTGCAGTTGCGTGTGAAATGGATGCTTGTTCGCGACCGTCTCATCAATGCCTCTCTTCCCGCTTCTGAGTTCACGGTCGCGTGGCCCCAGTACTGTGCGCTGATGCCAGACTTGCAGTAAATGGATTGACCCCGTTGTTGTTCGTCTTCATATCACCGTCTTCGGGTGCGATGTTATGGGTCCCTATAATCGATCGCGAGTGTTGTTGTTTTGCGCGAATATTTTGGTGATTTACATCGCGGCCGTGGTGATCGCGGGCTGTTGTTGTTCCGCGGTCAGATAGTGCTGATTTACATCGCGGCCGTGGTGATCGCGGGCTGCTGTTGCCTAATGTACATAGATTGTTCGCGTCGTAGTGTGTACAATGATAATGTGTGGGAATACCTGAGACGAATGCAGATTACTACTAAAATGGCACACGCGCAAACACACGCACCCACTGAATCCCACAAACCTTCACATATTGTTCCAAATGTCAACACTAGGTTCTCACGCGCACATGTACACGCACACACACACACACACACCCACAGACACACACACACACGATTTACTACAGGCACCAGCACAATCCACCGCAAGTAGAACTCAAGCATGGCGGACAGGCTGTGCACATGCTACGCGATACTACACGCACTCAAGTGCGCTTCTTCAGACGATCCTTGGGCAGGGCAAGGTACAAACCCAAGGACTCCATCTGCTTCCCTGCCACCGAGCAGTCGCACCAGGTGATGATAACGTCCACCGTTTCGCGGGCGGCCAACTCAATGTGCCTGAGATCGCGAGACTTTGCAACGACCTCGCTCACGACTCCGGACACGATCGCGGCGGCGACCGCCTTCGGGTCCGCAACAACCTGTGGCTCATCTTCCTCGCGGCGATTGCGCGATCGTCCTCGTCGATCGTGTACACGGGTGGAGTGGGCAACTTCTTGCCACCCCGTCCGCGTTTCTCTGCCTTGCCCTCGACCGAGGCCGCGATAGGACTTGCAGATGCCAGTGCGCTGTGCAGATGTCCCGCGGTGATTGCAGCACGAGCGGGTGCGAGCGTGGTCTGCCTGCCCTCTGCCGCAGCACCCGCCACGGACTGGACCTCACGCCTTGAGGCCAGCGAACCCGCAGCAGCCGGCGCCTCTCCATCCTCCGCCTTACCCTTGCCCCAACCCACAGTACTTGTCACTGTCGCGGTTGCCCCGGCAGGGCCCGGTGGTTTGGTTGCAGCTTCTCCAGGTGGGATGGAGCGCGAGCTCGAACCCGGTTGACCAGGCGGTGCTGCACCTCGCGATGCAGCGCCCCACTTCTGCTTCAGCATGTCCTGCACGCTCGGATTGCGCACCGCGGCCGCTGCCTGGGGACCTCTCTGCCTCTTCGCCCCCCGTTGATTCTCCGCCTTCGCACCCGCTGCCCGCTTTCCAAGCTCTGCATCCCCGGGCTCGGCAATCTCCGTCGCGGCCGTTCCTTCATTATCCGTGCGCGGCGGGGGGGCTCCTCCAACGAGCGCGATGAGGGTGTGCAGCGCGTTCGTGACCCCGCTGGTGGTGATTGCCCGCTCTGCTGTCACGGAGACCGCGGTCGACATGTTGTCGATCTTCCGCGCAACCTCGTCCGTCAGCTTCTTCTGAGCGGCTTCCATGGAGCCTGTCACAACCCCCTGCAGCTGTCCCAGCCTCGCGTCCACTCGCCCCAGCACCAACGCCTCCTGGTTACGGGTATCGACCAGGGCCGCTCTTTCCTGCGCGATCGCCCTCGCCTCCTTCTCCAACACCCGAACCGCATTAGCAAGCGCGGACGCAAGCTCCTCAGAGCCCACGACCGCGACCCCACCAACCCCCGACTCCTGGCGTTTCTTCGGCCGTGCGTTCTCTTCGGCCAGCGCTGCAAGCCTGAATTCGAGCTGCAGGATCTCAGCAGCAAGCTTATGCGATGGCAACGAGGACAGGGACGCGTGATCACGCGGACCTGTCACGGGACTCTTGCTCGCGACCTCACCACTCGGGCCCGCGCTTCCAGCACCGGGGGCCAAGTGCTGCGCGAGGTGCTTGATGCTCTTGCCGGATGTAGTGGGCCTGCTGGATGCCGCGGCCGCTACCACGTGAGCCTCCGCCTCCTCCTCGCTCGACTCCTCCCCCTCACGCGCAACAGCGCGGCCAGCCTCATCGCGGGTTGCACCCTTAGTCACGGTATCCTCGGCCCCTTCGTCATCAGCGTGGACCACCGTACCCCCCCGAGCACCTCCGCGGTTCGAAACACCAGCAGCACCTGTGAGAGCGAGAACACCATGGTCAGCAACCTGCGCACCCGTAGCCACTTTCTGCACCTTCCCCGTTTCAGCCCTTTCAGCCTCACCGCCTTGCATGGGTCGCGTCAAATCCACGCTCAAGTTGAACGCGAGCTCTTCGGCGGTTTGGTACGCCTCATGCCGCAGTGCATTCAGAGTCTTCGCGGTTGGCCTCGAGAATTGCGGCCCGGATCCACTGGCAGCGACCGCGTCCAACTGGGCAAGGATCTTGTCGAACGCGAACAGACAAGCGATGTTGCCGCAGGAGCCCTTCAATGACGTCGCGTCCTGGAAAACATTACATGGGGTTTGTTAGCACCACTGCAACTATTGGCGGTCATCGAGAACACGTACACAACACAGACGTACCAGATCCAATAGACGCTCGGGATCCTTAAGCTGGCGGGAGCGGGTGCACTGAATGGAGCCGCGCGCAAAATCCTCGTCGACGCGACCCTGAAACCACCTGCCCAAAAGCACATACATATCCACGCGAACGCACGGTTAGCGACATGAGCCTCGGAGCGGAAATGAACGTGGTACTGATGATAAACCAGTACGCGGTACTCACTCCACAATCGCATCAGCCGCGGTGACGTGTTCCGCACCACCAGTGGGAATAGCAACGCGAACGAACCGCGTGTTCCACGTCTCGTCACCGTCAAGCGACAAGTGGTCGGGGTGAAGCAGAATGAGCATGCTCGCGTTCGAGCTCTTCTTGTCGACCAAGTCCCTGAACGTGCCATTGACGACCGCGTTAAACCACTTAAACGAGTGCAATCCCTGTACAAGTGAACACTCCCACTGAAAACTCACTCGAACCAGATGCAGAAAACCACCAGGCTGCACTCCATCAAACCGGCAAAGGCTTGGACCGCTTCATCGCGACCCGCGACTATGTCCGCGACAACACCGCTCGTCACGATTCGGACGTGCTCATGCACCTCCTTCTCCAGATACCTCCGGACAATCACGCTGTGCGGGACGGTGTAAAACAAGGCGGGGAAAAGCTCAAACATAAACAACGCGACCTAAAAGCACAGCGGAGGTATGCCGCGGCCTGCACTCCCCACTAGTAACTATCGCTGAAATATCGCGAACAGCCTAAACACCGCGACCATAAACAACGCGTGCATATTAGAGTCAGGGAATGGAACGCATGGATCTCACCCGGTGACAAAGTCGAACAGACGGGCCGTGAGAGGATGCTTATCCTCTGCGAGCAGCTTCCACTGTTCGGGGGGGAGGTCCACCGTGGCTCCCGCAACATAGATGATGGCCGGACAGGAGGCGGCCTCCTTCGACCCAGCTCTAAGCGCCTTCATTTCGCGGCTCATAACTGGTACGACCGCAAAAGCGCGACCAAAGGTACCGTGTATCTAGGACGAAACGTACGCGAAACAGTGCTCGCGTGTATCTAGGACGAACGGTACGCGAAACTGTGCTCGCGGCAGAAAATGAGAGCTACGCTAGACGCTACCAAGCGCGAACGCGGCCAAGCAGAGTCTTTGCTAGCACTAGGCGACGAGGACCTCTACGGGGAACGGGCGAGCAGGAAGAAAACAAGATGTGAAGACGGAGAACGAAAATGAGCACCAGGTGCCCGTACCGAGAACCTAAGAGTGGGCCGAGATGGAAACAAGAGACGGCACTCGCGGTCACACTGCGCGGGCCTCTCACCCAGCGGGGAGGTTCCGCAACATGCACGCTTGTGTCAGAACATATAGCTTACTTATTTGTGTAGGCTATAGTGGGGTATCCCATAGGGGGTACAACCCAATTAGGGTTTCCTATTTGTACTCACTTCATTCATACTCATTTCATTCTCGTTCAATTCTTCTCATGGAATCAGAGCAGGTCCCCTCCTAGGGACTGTTCCTAGGGCCCACCGAAGCGCGCCCCGAGGCGCGAGTTCTTTTTTAGCGACCCTGCGTGTCGCCCCTACCGTCGCGCTCCCGCCGCTCCCTCCTCTTACGGCCGCCCGCCCTAGTGCCCTGACGGCCGCCCGCCCTAGCGCCCTGACGGCCGCCCGCCCTAGCGCCCTGACGGCCGCCCGCCCTAGCGCCCGAGCGCCAACCGCCCTAGCGCCCTGACGGCCGCCCGCCCTAGCGCCCTGACGGCCGCCCGCCCCAGCGCCCGAGCGCCGCCCGCCCTAGCGCCCGAGCGCCGCCCGCCCTAGCGCCCGAGCGCCGCCCGCCCTAGCGCCCGAGCGCCGCCCGCCCTAGAGCCCTGACGGCCGCCTGCCCTAGCGCCCGAGCGCCGCTCGCCCTAGCGCCCTGACGGCCGCCCGCCCTAGCGCCCGTGCGCCCCTCGCCCAAGCGCCCTGACGGCCGGCCGCCCGCCCTAGCGCCCGAGCGCCGACCGCCCTTTCGCCCTTACGGCCGCCCGCCCGAACGCCTGAGCGCCGCCCGCCGTCGCCCCAACGCCCTCGCGCCCGACGCCCGCGAGCCGCCCGTCGCAGCCGCCCGTGAGCTCCCTGAGCCGCCCGCGCCGCCGTCCCTGAGCCGCCTGTGCAGCCGCCCGCGAACCACCAGTGAGCCGCCCGTCGCGACACCAGAGCAACCCGAGCCGCCCGAGCCGCCCGAGCCGCCCGAGCCGCGCGAGCCGCCCGAGCCGCCCCAGCCGCCCGAGCCGCCCGAGCCGCCCGAGCCGCCCGAGCCGCCCGAGCCGCCCGCGCCGCCCCAGCAACCCAAGCCGCCCGAGCCGTGCCGCTGTTCCTGAGCTGTGTTCCTCTGCTGCTGCACTACCCGACTCTCCCAGCCCGGTGAGACTTTCAGCTGCTGCCATGGCCACCCCCAATGTCCTTACTTTTGACGCTGAGGGGAGGGCCATTGACTTTGCCGTCTCGATTGAAGACCTGCAGCTGTACTTACTATGTGATGCGATAGATGAGGTCTCTCTCTTTGACTTTGTCTCTGGCGCTGTCCCTGCCCCACCTGCTGATGCTGACTCTGCCGTTCGCTCCAAGTGGGCGACCCGCGATGCTGCTGCACGTCTTGCTGTGCGTCGCCACCTCCCTTCCTCTGAGCGTGCCCACTTTAGTCAGTGCAAGACCGCTCAGGCCTTGTACGACGCTGTAGTTGCACGCTACTCCTCCCCTTCCTCCGCTACCCTTAGCCGCCTCATGCTACCGTTTCTCTTCCCTGACCTCGCCTCCTTTCCCACTGTTGCTGACCTCGTTACCCACCTCCGTGCTAGTGACACCCGCTACCGCGCTGCCCTTCCTGCTGAGTTCCGCACTGCGAACCCTCCTCCCATGTACATCACTCTCTACTTTCTCGTCACCCGTCTCCCTGAGTCCCTTCGTGCCGTTAGGGACCAGTTTCTCTCTGTCTGTCCCACCACTCTCACTGTCGATCTCCTTGAGGAGTCCCTGCTAGCGGCTGAGAAGAGTATTGTCGCTGTAGGGGCCTCTCGGGGTGACCCTCGCACCCCCATCTTTGAGGGGTGTGGTCCTTCCCCCCTGCTGCCCTCTGTCGCCTCTGCCGCTGCGGCCGACCTCACTGGTTTTGAGTCGGTCGGCGCGGCGTCTGCCCCCAGCGGCAGACGCCGCTCTGGCAAGGGCAAAGGGGGCAAGGGAGCGGGTGGAGCTAGAGGGGGCGGTGGAGGAGGCGGTGGGGGTGGCGGGGGGAGTGGGGGTGGCGGTGGGGGTGGTGGCGGGAGTGGGGGTACTGGTGGCGGCGGTGGAGGCGGAGGTGGCGACGGAGGTGGTAGCGGAGGAGGCGGTGGGAGCGGTGGGAGCGACGGTCCTGGTGGGGGAGGTGGCGGTGGAGACGGGGGTGGCGGTGGAGGCGGGGGTGGCGGTGGAGGCGGGGGTCGGAGTGGCTCGTCCCAGCGGAGCAGCTCTGGGGGTGGTCAGCGCCAGCAGCAGCAGCAGCAGCAGCCGCAGCAGCAGCCACAGCAGCAGCAGCGCTCTCGCACCGTCCCCGGCCCTCAGCAGCTCCGTGAGTGGTACTTGCAGCGTCAGCGTGGTGGTGCGCTTGGTCCCTGCCCCTACGTTCTTCGCACAGGTGACCGTGCAAGGGAGAGGTGTGGAGGCGCCCACACAGCCCGCCGCTGCTTTGGCCGCCTGACCGACGCCTGGCGTCAGCAGTTTCCGGAGGCCGCTGAGATCCCCCGCTGGGGAGAGCTGTCTAGGGCTGGTGTAGCTATTTATGATCTTGATTTTGATGCTATTCTCTCTGCTATGTATGCTGTGACTGGTAGTGATGAGGATGACTGTTACCGGTGTTTCCCGCCCGACCCGGGCATTGGTACTGCCGCGTCAGGTACTAGTGAGGCTGCTGCTCTAGGTGCCAGTGCGTCTGTGCTCTCAGGTGCCGGTGAGTCTGCCCTCTCAGGTACTGTGTCGGCTTCGGCCTCTCACACCTTCACCCTTGACTCTGGAGCGTCTCGCTCCTTCTTTAGGGACCGCACCACTCTCACGCCGCTGAGTCGGCCGGTTGCGGTGTCCCTGGCTGACCCCTCTGGGGGGCCTGTCCTGTCTCGCTTCTCCACTGTCCTCCCGTGTCCGGCGGCCCCCTCTGGCACCCTGACTGGTCTCTACCTCCCCTCGTTCTCGACGAACTTGGTGAGTGGTGCTCACCTCCAGGATGCGGGTGTCCACCAGTTCACCCCTGCTCGTCAGCGGGTGACTCACTGCACGGAGGCGGATACAGGTCGCCACCTGGCTACGTTTACACGTCGGCCAGGGTCGAGCCTGTACACACTGACCACTGCTTCTCCTCCAGGTGCTGAGTCTGGTAGGGTCCCTTCGTCTGGTCAGGTGTTTGCTGCAGCGTCCAGGTCTGGTCCTGAGTCTGCCCCCTGCTCGTGTCGTCGTCTGTCTCACGAGACCCTCCTCTGGCACCACCGCCTTGGCCACCCCTCTCTGCTTCGGCTCAGAGGCATGGCCTCGCGAGTCCTTGTGTCTGGTCTTCCCCGGTCTCTCCCTCCCCTTCCTCCGGGCCCTGGCCCTACCTGTGTCCCCTGTGTCGAGGGGCGCCAGCGTGCTGCCCCTCACTCCTCCCAGTTTCCTCCGACAGAGGCCCCGTTGCAGACGCTTCACATGGACGTGTGGGGCCCAGCCCGCGTCCGTGGACAGGGTCAGGAGCGCTACTTCCTGCTGGTGGTTGACGACTACTCGCGTTACACCACAGTCTTCCCCTTGCGCAGCAAGGGTGAGGTCACTGAGGTGTTGATCGACTGGATCCGCGCAGCTCGTCTCCAGCTTCGCAGGAGCTTTGGCTCTGACTTCCCTGTTTTGCGTCTGCACTCGGACAGAGGCGGAGAGTTCTCCTCTGGCCTCCTGAGTGCCTACTGTCGTGTGCGAGGCATCCGTCAGACCTTCACGCTTCCGGACTCACCACAGCAGAATGGGATTGCTGAGCGCCGCATTGGCATGGTCATGGACGTCGCTCGTACGTCCATGATGCATGCGGCTGCTCCCCATTTTCTGTGGCCGTTTGCGGTCAGGTACGCTGCGCACCAGATCAACCTCCACCCCAGGGTCTCTCGACCGGAGACCTCCCCAGCCCTGCTGTGGACGGGGAAGGTTGGCGATGCGTCGGCGTTCCGGGTCTGGGGATCTCGGGCGTTTGTTCGCGACCTGTCTGCGGACAAGCTGTCCCCTCGTGCTTCTCCCTGCGTCTTCCTGGGGTTCCCCCCCGACGCCCCTGGGTGGCAGTTTTACCACCCCACCTCTCGACGTGTTCTGTCCTCCCAGGACGTCACGTTCGACGAGTCGGTACCCTACTACCGCCTCTTCCCCTACCGCACTCCGTCCCTCCCCCCACCCCCGCTCTTCTTGGTATCAGGTCACCCCCCGGTAGTCCCCCTCCCCCCTCAGGGTCCTGCCCCTTCAGGTGTGTCCCAGGTAGACGCGGTCGAGCCTGTCGAGGTCACTGGTGACTCTGGTGCTGCTGCGGGAGCTGAGCCTGGGGGTGCGGAGTCTGGGGGTGCTGAGCCTGGGGGTGCTGAGCCTGGGGGTGCTGAGCCTGGAGGTGCCGAGCCTGGGGGTGCTGTGCCTGGGGGTGCTGTGTCTAGGGGTGCTGAGCCTGGGGGTGCTGAGCCTGGGGGTGTTGTGCCTGGGGGTGCTTCGTCTCGCCGGGAGCCACTCTCCCCACAGGAGCTGCGTGAGTGGTTTGCCAGGCGCTGGAGGCGTGCTGCTGGTGCTGGTGGTTCTTCGGCTGCAGAGGGTACTGCTGCCGCGCGTCCCGCCGGTGCTCGTGCTGTGGGTGCTGGAGCTGCTGGGTCTGAGAGTTCTCCTGGAGCTAGTACTGCTGAGGGAGTTGGCGCTGAGCCTGCCGTTGACGGTCCGAGTGACGGTGCTCCTGGTGCTGCTGCT